GGATGTGGGGGGAGGTAAAATCCCCACTGAATAGTTTTCATCTTGTCTAGATGGGTCTGGAGAAAGGAGATGGGAATAAGATTCTTATGATTCAATAGTGAGTAATTGTTATCATGACTAATTGTGATTGTCACAATTGTAAAGGTAGAAGTTTTTTAACAAAAAGGGGGGAGTAGTTAATCTTACAGTCCAGGAACAGAGGACCCTAGGACCATCAAGGGAGAAGAGCACAAACGGAATGTGGGACCCAATACAGAGAAGCAGTGACACCAGAGACGGAGACAGAGATGAGGGCATGGAGAGAGAGAGCAGCTGAAGAATCCAGACTCATGGAAAGAGAAAGGTTGTGTGTTGGCAGCCAGGAGGCAGGCTTGCAGAATGTGCCCTGTGGTTGTTTAAATGATTATATATTCTTGAGTGTTTTTGTGTACATCCTCCCCCCAAAAAACAAACAAACAGAGAATAGAAGCAAATACTGTTGAATGATGATGCATGGAAGGGATTTTAATCATTGCAATGAAACAATGAGTATAAAACTGACGTTCTCCCATGTAAACTATTACTCAATTCACAATAAAAAATGTTTAAAACTGCTATATTGAATCAAATTGATAATAGCAACTCAAAAGGTTAGATAGGAACCTTAGGGGACAATAAGCTTATGTTAATGATACAGGAACATCTCAGGAGGGTGAAAACGTTCAGTGCAGTGAATGATTTCATAATGGCTCATCTACCCATAAGGAGCTCTGGTAGCATAATGGTTATGAATCGGGCTGTGAGCCACAAGGTTAGCAGTTCAAAACTACCAGCTGTTCCGCAGAAGAAAGATGAGGCTTTCTGCTCCTGTAAAGATTTACAACCTTGGAAACCCTATGCAGGGTCACTATGAGTCAGAACCAACTCCACAGCATGTAACAACAACTTCTACCCATAGTTCTGGTAACTCCCACCAACCAACTCTTTGCTGATGGGTCTGATTAAGAAAAGGAGGGAGAAGACGCTGGTAGGATTATAAGAGTCCATTGTGATAGTAATAGTTAACTGTGATTGTAAAAACTTGGAACTTGGTGTCTGAGTTCTGTGTGGGCAGTACAGTGGATTGGACCCAGCTGAGTAGAATACTATGTGCAGACTGGTTGGTCATTTTGTTGTTGTTGTTCAGAATAGCTACACAACCTAAAGAATGTAATCATTGTCACTGAATTACACCTGTACAAGCTGTTGAACTGGTGTATGTTTCACTGTGTATATTCTTAACAATAGCAAAACAAATTTTTTAAAAATCTTATGAATCACAATAGTAAAATAGTCTTTTATGCACACAAAAAAATGGTTGTTCTCAGCTCTCTTGTCAGCCTAATTTTATCTCAGTGGATTCTCATTCTCCATTTAAATAGTCAGTATAAAGTAAGACCGAATAGGATGAATCACTCAGCCACTCAAATCACTGACAAGTCTTTAATGTAAATGAAAGCATATTTAATGTTACAATTTGGTATAGTTAAGAATTGACAGAAAGGTATCACAATATCTGAAATAGAAGAAATGTCTGAGTCTGGGCAGGCAAAAATAAATATACTCACACATAGGACGTACTTATAAACAACAGCAATTACATGGATTCCACCCAAATGACCTGATTTCCCTTCTTACTCCTGTAAGGTTGGCTAGGGGTTGATTCTCTTCCAAACCACTGAGACCACACAGCAGCCCAATTCTTGTCTTTTCCTCTCCAGTTTAGTTCAGCTCCTATTTCTTCCCAATGCTCAGTCCTGAGAAATTTCAAAGAATGCCTTTAAGAGAATCCCCTGGGTGGTGCAAACAGTTAACAAGTTAGGCTGCAAACCAAAAGGTTGGTGGTTCAACTCCACCACCTAGAGTTTCCTCAGAAAGACCTAGAGCTACTTCTAAAAAATCAGCCATTGAAAACCCTCAGAGCACCATTCTACTCTGACACATATGGAGTGCCCATGAGACAACTGACTGGTGACAAAGGATTATTGTTCTGTTTTCAGTGCCTTCAAGGAACGAGTCTAGTAGGAAAGAAAGATGTCCATTAGCCTTAATGTGCTCCGGGTCCCATCACTGGGGAGGATTATACACAAATTGCCCTGCTTTCTGAGGTTAGAATCCCTAGAGGGAGCCTTTAAGCTTGTCGGCAGAAGCCCCATTATGTGTGTCTGGTCCAACTAAAAGCCTAGTGAAGAATTGCCAGGGAGTCTTTGTTACTTGACTCTGTCCTCTCTAGTCTTCCCTGGCCCTTCCAATATTCATACACCCCCTCCTCCCACTTCCCTTCAACAACAAGGAAAGAAAAGCTTTGGGGACAGCCAATTTTAATGAATAGAAATTCTGTTTTAGCATTAAATAGTTCTCCCACTCCCCACAAAGTCAGCCCTGAAGGAATCTGCATAAATTAGAGCAGGGGTGAAGAATATATGGCCCTAAGCCCACCAAATCCTGTGGCCTGGCAACCGCAGGTGGGACTCAAAGTTCAATTAATCTAGGGGCTTTTTTCATAGCAGCATAAATTGATTTTGCTATGCTATAAATACCCAAATGACCCTTGATAGAAAAAAGGCTCCCCACTCCTGAATTAGAGTGTGTTGGTGCTGCGGGGAGGGAGAAGGATCCGAGAGGCTATCAGTGGATATGAGCTACCCATCTCCACCCTTTGAATGCTCAGGACACCCAGTGTAGAGAGCTGGGTACAGGTGTCCTCAAGTCAAAGGATGCAGGTGATACACAGTCTCAAGGACAAGTCACAGGACTGGAGATCTGGAAATGTCAGGGTGAAGGCAGATACGTCAGCACCAGGGAAGTGAGGGAATATTAGCCATGGCCACTGAGACTCAGGTTCCAGCTTTTTTATTGAATGTGAATGAGCGGAGACAAGGAGAAAGCAGTGTGGGCAAAGGAGAACAGTGTTGGGTTTTGACAGTGATTCTAGCTATAAATAAATATACAGAGAAACTGAAAATTTTGGCTTGGTCATGTCAACATAATTATACTCATAGTCATTAATGCCAGCTTCTGTACCATTGTGTGCAATGCATCACAACAAATAATCACCCTGGTTGTGATTCCCAATGGTTGTAAGTTTTATTTGATTAGGCCAGCCTTTACAATTTTTGCCTCAAACAGAAAAAAGTTTCTGCTTTTACAGACCAGCAGGACCATTGCTTTTAAGCTGTTAGATAGAACCGGATCTGGTATCGTGTGTGTGTGTGTGTGTGTGTGTGTGTGTGTGCACGTGCGTGCGCGTGCGTGCGCACGTGCTCACTCCTATTTAGTATTTTCCCGAATCTCTTTCTATCAAGTATCTGAGTAATTGCTATATAGCTTTCCTGTTCTGTGTGTTTGTATTCCATCTCACTAGTTAGTAATTTTCTTCACTCAGATGCTCCACATTCATGAAATAGTAAAAGCTAAAAATTCCACCTTTTCACCTTTTCCCCACCCCTTAACTTGCATGTTGTTGTTGTTGTTAAGTACTTTGAGTCCATTCGGATCCATAGCAACCCTGTATAGGGGTTCCAAGGAGCAGCTGATGAGCTTGAACCACCGACCTTGAAATTCAAACATCTTTGCAGTCTGATGCATTAGCCCACAGTGCCACACCAGGACTCCTTCATTTGCATATACATATATTAAACACTTACTTAATTATTCTGTGGAGATACTAAAATTAATCATTTAAGTTGCATGTCAGCTGAGTTGAGGGCTCAAATAGGAATGAGTTTGCTAAATTGCTATGACACAGAATCGTTCTCTTTTACAAGCCCTGCAGTCAGATATAAACCACAGTGGCAGAAGAAGCAAGCACGTTTCTCTAGTTCCTGAAATGCATGTGGGCTACTGTGGTTCTGTCCCAGATTCTGCTGCTAGTACATGGAGCAATCTGATCTCCATCTGCAAGGGTTCCTTTCCATCTTCCTTATGAATGAGCTAGGTCTGTTCTTGTTGTGTGCCATCGAGTCAGTTCCAACTCATAGTAACCCTGTTTGCTGGTGGGTTTGAACTGCCAACTTCTCAGCAAACCAGTGTTTATCCTACAAAACCACACCAGGGTCTATTTAGTGCATAACTGGAGCTTCTTGGATGAAAGGTCATATAGTACATGTTTTAAAGTTTCTTTCATAATGATAGTGAAATATAGGTTAGGACTTTCAAATCATTTAAGTGTTATCAAGTCAGTTCTGACTCATAGTGACCAGTACAGGGTTTCCCAGGAGCAGCTGGTGGGTTTGAACCACCAACTTTGTGGTTAGCAATCCAGTGCTTGTCATACAATGTCACACTAGGCAGTATTAAAATGTTATTAAACATATATTTTGATTTGCCGGTTTGAATAAGAAAGGTAGGTGGGAAATTAACCACAAGCATTAGTTTAGGTCTTTCAAATTTTTAATTACCTGGTAAAATCCAGATGAGCAGTTTCAACAATATTATTACTGCTTCAGTAGAAAATAACAATACTACAAACACATGGCAGAGCCCCATGGAGTCACTTCACTGGTTCAAGAGTTTGTGTTTGTAAGTTGGTAGGAAAAGAAGTTCCAAGTGTGAAGCCTTAATTATAAATGAGAGGGCTTCAAACAATTTGTGGAACAATGGAATTAAAAAGTAATGGGATTTTTCCACAAACTTTTTGAAGCCTCATGGTACAAGACACATAAAATGTGTCCTTACATGTGGAATTCTTCAGGAAACACATCCCATTGTCCAAATTTATGGAGACCTTTTTAATGTAAAAACTTTTTTCTTATCAGAGATGGAATAATCACTGCTGCTTGTGTCTCACAGAGTTTTCTATTAGACTGAGCAAGAAGTTATTTCTAGAGTCCAGTCAGGGACTAAGTCTCTTCAAGAACTATATCCAAAAGGAAACACTGCTCAGGATATTTCCAGAAAGAGCATGGATCCTCTGGTTTGCCAGCTCTCCCTCTATCCATTAGTCTCTGCAGTGAGTATGTGAGTGTTGCTCTCTTCGGGGTCTAGAAGATGCTGCACTCATTCATGGAGAAAAGCCGTCTTCTGTTGCGCCTCCTAGCTTGGTTGACAGCAGTTCGGACAGCACACTCAAATACCTGCTGTACCCCACGGTTACTGAGAGCTGAACACTCAAGGTATCCCTTGGCTCTCACTTCCTGGGCCAGTCTCTTTCCATCTATGGCACTGACACAGGATGACCGGTGGGGCCCCATCTCCCGCTGGTCAGTCTGGGTGGCCACCACCAGCACAGGAGTGCAGGGCAAGTTGCTCCTGATTTCCCCAATCCACTTGTTCTTCAAGTTCTGGAAAGAGTTCTGGTTGGCCACCGAGTAGCACATTAGCACCACATCTGCCTGCTGGTAGGACAGGGGGCGGATGCTTCTGAAAGCGTCATTGCCAGCTGTGTCCCAGAGACCCAGGCTGATCTGAATACCATCCATGAAGACGTCCACCCCTGTGTTCTCATACACTGTGGGCTTGTAGGCTTCCGGGAAGGTCTCTGAGGTGAAGCGCACCAACAGAGAGGTCTTCCCCACAGCGGAGTCTCCCACCAGCACACACTTGATAGAACTCAGCATCTTCCCCGGCTGGTTTCCTTGTTGCAAGTTCAGAATCTCAAGGAACACAGTGCTCAGTGAGCTGCTGTAGCAAACGCCATTCAGTAAGGGGACATGAAGCCAGGTGGGTTTGTGTTCTCCACACCTTCAGTGGCGCCCTATAAATTTTACTTGTCCCTGTCCATCCAGGAAGAAGCACAGGCTACTTCGAAAATCTCCAGAGCCTCGTTTTCAACTGGGAAAAGAAAGAGAAAAAAACATTGAACCTCTTTTTTGTTATTGTTTCTGGTTTTCTTTCTTTCTTTCTTTCTTTTTTTTTTTTTTTATGCCAGGGTACTTCCTTATGGGCAAACAGATTAAACGTAGAAATGTGTACCCCATCACAGAATAACTGCTCAACCCCATTCCCCTGAGCTCACTGAAAAGTCGGGCCCACTTCCCCTTAGCAAAGCAAACTTGGATCTGTTATCCCCAACCACGTGCACCCCCAACTCCACCAGGCCAAGAAACAGAAGTTGATTTTATCTGTAAAGTCAACCAAGTGATAAAACGTACACACATAATCAACTGCTCTGATCGCAACATGAAAGGGACCTCAATAGCGACCTGGTGTGTCAATGAGACGTTTTCCAAACTGCTCTGCACCGGCTTCTGCTCTGACAAGTGGAGAAGGTAACCGAGTGCTCTCTGTCTCTTCAGTCTCCAATGGACCCCAGCCACCTTGGGAACTGCAAGAAAGAAGAGGGTAATGAGCGACAGGCGCTACAAGTGTCGGCTTCTGTTTATTCATCAGTCACCCAGTCTTTGGTTTATGTGAGAATTTTTGTGGAAGAAACAGAAATCACCAGCCCTGTAAAAGTTTGCTATGGTTTTCCCTTGAGATAGTCCTAAATTCTAGTATTATCACGATTTCCATGAAAAAGGACAGTTGACTATACTGCTCCCTTCAGGTTTTAAATCAGTCTGAAATTATGTCTCTCAATCCCAGAACCTTTTGAGACTCAATAACTTGATTACGCTTCACATTTCTCCTCTTTCCGACATTTTCACAGAAAGGACGCCTTCAAAATAGGTCTCCGCAGTTGAACCACAGAGTAACCGAGGACGGACAGGAGACCACACCTTGACAAAGCAAAGGTATTGGGCCCTTCTGCTACTATGTTTGTAAGTGACGTCTAGTCGGTTTTAGTGGCCTTGTATAGGGTTTCTGGAGTCCTGGTGTGGTGCTGTGGGTTAATGCGCCAGACTGAAAAGCCATTTGAACTGCAAGGTCGGCAGTTCAAGCTCATCAGCTTCTCCTCGGAAACCCTATACAGGGTCGCTATGGGTTGGAACCGACTCGATGGCACTTAACAACAACAACAATAGAGTTTCTGGAGTGCTGGTGTGGCACTGCGGGATAAGGAACTAGACTGCAAGGTTGGCAATTCAAACTTACCAGCTGCTCCTCGGAAACCCTACACAGGGTTGCTATGGGTCAGAACTGACTCGACGGCACTTAACGACTACAGCATAAGGTTTCTGAGGAGCAACTAGTGGGTTTGAATTGCGGACTTTGCGGTCAGTAGTCCAATGCTTATCCTACGGCGCCATGCCAGGACTCCTCTGTGTTATTATTTGCTGTTGTTAAGTGCCGTCGAGTTGGTTCAACTCATCATGACCCTGTACCCTGTACACGGTTTCTGAGGAGCTACTGGTGAGTTTGAACCGCGAACCTTGGCCAAGTGCTTATCCTACAGCACCATGCCGAAGAAGAGCAATAGATAAAAAGGAAGACTTAGGGAACAAGGCACTCCGCCTTCTGGCGAACTGAGGGGCGTCCAGAAGGTAATCTTAGTTTCACTTTAGCCTCAACTCTCACCTCAGGTCAGCAGATGCCTATTCTAACTGGTAGCCCTTCATCAGACGCTCCCTGCTGCAGTCTTGGCCTGAAAAGACCTTCTCTTCACTCTCCCTAACTCCTACCTTTTCTTAAAAGTCTCCTTAACCGCCCACCCCCTCCAAAGGCAGGTGCCTCCTTTGCATGTTCCCATAGCACCCCCTGTGTACCTCTAATATAGGAATCCCTGTGTGGTGCAAATGGCTAACACACTCAACTGCTAACCAAAAGCTGAAGTCCACTGTGAGGTGTAAGAAAGGCCTGGTAATCTTGTTCAACTCTGACACAACATGGGGTTTCCATGCATTGGAGTTAACGTGATGGCAACTGGCTACCTCTAACATGGGAATAAACACACTCTGCTGAAATTGTTGGTCCTGTTGGGTTTGCTCCTCATTTGTAAAACTCGAGATCAACCCTACCTTCTCAGGTGGCTTGTAAGGATCCGGGGGAAAAGAAGATAGCACATCAATAATCAGTGCTTGTACTTTGTCGATTTGGAAATGCTCTGATTGTTACATAAGAAAGCTCCTTCAGAATGATACTGAAACTAAACCCACTGCCATAGAATCCATTCTGCCTCACAGCCACACGACAGGACAGAGTAGAACTGACCCACAGGGTTTCTGTAGCTGTCAGTCTTCACAGAAACAGACCGTCACAGCTTTCTCCCCCAGAACAGCTGGTAGGTTTGAACCGTCAATCTTTTGGTTCACAGTCTAGCACTTTAACCACCATGTCACCAGGGCGTTTTCAGAGTGAGTTGGCATAATATAAAACTACCATTATCAACTAATTATTATTGTCATAGGTTTTAGGTTAGCTGGGCAGATGCCATGTTCTAGCTAGAACCCTTTCGTCAGACACATTCCCTGCTGTAACCTTCACCTGAAAGTTAAAGGAACTATGTTGTTGTTGTTGTTAGGTGTCTTAATGACTCTGTATAGGATTTCCAAGGAGTGGCTGGTGGGTTTGAACCACTGACTTTGTGGTTCAAACCAACCTTGTGGTCCAGGGCATTATCCTGTAGTGCCACACCAGGGATCCAAAGTAGCTAAGGCAGGTAAGTATTCTACAATTCAACCATGCATTGGCCTTTACAAATGGGTTAATCAAATAATGAATTCATATGATTTGGTTTTAAAACACACATAAATTGGGTGACCTTGGTCAAGTTCCTTAAACTCTCAGAGTCTTGATTTCCTCATAAAATGAAAAGAAGAAAACCACTTTCTCCGTGGGCTTACGATAGGGATTCAACATATGGAGACTCTTGGCTCTTTGGTTGAGATGGTTTATTCCAAAAGGCTAATAGAATTCTTAGTTTTCTTTTTACAAAAGAAAATGTGGACCCAAGGCAGTCATCAGCCAGCTATGGTCTGTCCATCACAGAGAAGATACCTCAGCGTGCAACTCCTCTAAGAGTTTTTGTCAAAGGACCTGCACTGACCCATATGTTCACTAAAGGAACTGCTATTGTCATGACACTAACACATTTAGATGATTAAGAAATCACCCCCCTCCTCTGCGGCCCCTCTACAACCTAGCAGTGACCAGAACAAGGCAGGCTCTGCATGGGTGAGCCACGAGAGCACCCCATCTCGCGAGGGGGGTGGAGTCTTTGCTTTTATTTCTTTTTCTTGATAGAAAGGGAAGCAATTCAAACTATCTTAAGCAACTTAGCTAAAACAACAACAACAACACCTTAACCATCTCTAAAATCACTCCAAATTCTTTTTTTTTCCCATTGTTGTAAATATGTATCTATACCACATTTGCCAATTTACTATGTTCCATACGTACTGTTCAGTGATGTCCATTACATTGGCCAGGTTATACCACTCCAAATTCTTCTATACATTTTTTTCAGATTTAAAAAGAAAATTATTTTCCCAGTAGTCCACACACTTGCCAAATATTTAGCCAAATAGCTTCCCTTGATCTGACAGTTTATCATTTGTCACTCCCCATTGTGAGTCTAATCTTTCCATTAGTTCCAATAATCCTTCATGATTAACAACTGTGTCAATAACAGTCTTATAAAAATTCCTTTTGATCTGGAAGTGTTTTCTTGGATGATAACTTATAAATGTGGCATTGCCTGGTCAATGGGTCATTTTGTCATTTTGATTTAAATTTCCAGGTTATGAATGAGATCCGTTCCTGTGTCTTTAAGCATTTGTAAATGAAGTTTAGCAGGTACATATGATTCTTATTTAGCCCTACTTTAGTGCAAGAAAAGACTCAAAGCCTTTTCAATAATTTAAAAGCTGCACATGCAGCAAGTGAAGAGGTTGTGATAAAGCATGTGTTGCGAGAAGGGGTTAGTTCAATCATTTTAAACTATGAACAAATTTAATGACCTTAAAGGGCAAGTACGAGTTGTCTGTAAGTAAGTAAGCCTGGTGTTTGTAACCCAGGGACTGTCTGTATAGAGAATCTGACAGGGACTGCTTTGTATATGTCGTTCATTAGCTGTTGCTTTTATTTAAATAATTTCTTTTTAAGAATTTGTAATTAATATTGTTAAATTGTACATTTCAAAAAATGTTGATTTGGCAAATACTGAGTTTATATAGATAAATATTTTACAACAATTGAAAAACTAAAACCACAAGCACACATTTATTTAACACGTGTTGTGTGACAGGCACCACACCAGGTCCTGGGGATGTAATTGTGAACAAGATAATTGCTGTCTCTGTGGAGAGCATGGCTTCAGAGCTGCATAGACTTCAGAAGATTTAAGACTCAACTACAGACACACTACTAGGAAATGGCAGCGGTAGTAGCTCTGTCTTTCCATACCCCATGATTTCTATCAAATCATGTTTCCCAAACCAAACTGTGCTTCCTAAACAAACTCAGATGCAAGACACTTCCCAGCCATCCTTCCACCAGGCCACTCTGCCTATTTTCTTCCTACAAGAAACCAGGTCTTGATATTAAAAAAAAGAAAAAGCATACTGCTTTTTTATCTGCATGCTGGTTTTACAAATTTCACAGTTTGTGAAAATCCACCCCCCTGAACTCCAACAATGTGTTAATTTTTTCCAGTCTATATCTTAAATATCAGTAGAAACAGTATTTTTTAAATTAAGAGTAACATCTTTGCAGTGAACACATTCTCAAGCAGCATTTAACCAATTATGTTTCATGATTTCTAATCCTACTTTGGAGTCCTGGTGTGGCACTGCAGGATAAACTCTGGACCACAAGGCCAGTTTAAACTGCAAGGCCGGTGGCAGTTCAAACCCACCAGCTGCTTCTCATAAACCCTATACAGGGTCGCTATGAGTTGAAGCTGACTCAACACACTTAGCAACAACAACAAACATAGCGTATATTTA